AAAAATGAATATCTTTGATATATATTTGAATATCTATTATGAATATCTTTGCATAATATATTTATCAGAAATAATTATATTTACAAAAAATGGTTCCCTTGTCTACAATTATAACGAATAATAGAAACAAAAGGAGAAACATTTTTTTCGCTTGTATTCCGTATATATATAATTGTTCAAATTCGAACAATAGTTAGAGTGATTCCTAAATTGGCACGCACGACATTCCCCTTAGCCTAAGCGGTGCGCGCATACATATTATTTAACAGAAACGTAACGATGTGACAACAAATTCTTAACTTTCAAACGATACATGTAACATCATTGAATTATTATCGCCAACGGACGAGTATCATTGTTTCATTGTCTGAAATCGTGGAAAAAGGGCAAGGAACGTATACTAATTGAAATGAGCAAGCATATTTAGAAATGAACAATGAACAGGTCATTTCAATACGGTGCGGAGACAGACATACCAAAAAGATACATTAATGGGAAACCGATAATGGATACGTTTCTTTACCTATCGTTTAGCTGATCGTCTGTTCCCGGTAACGGATGCACGGCAAAATGTATCGACGTCATTCTATTAACGCGTGAACGTGATTTCAAACCAGGATGTCGTTTTAATAATTCTGTACACACAATTTCACTACACCATCGAAACGATATTCAGCCATGTTTCTGAGGAAACAACGAGTTACGTGTTCTTGAAAGCAAGCGACCCAAGCTGAACACTCGCGTATTCGTAAATACATTCAAATTCTCACTTTAAGGAACCGATGTTATAAGGAACCGAAGTGAATGATTAAAAATCACATGCAAATCGAATATTCCTGGAACGTGTACCCGTCCTTATGGAATTGCAACCAAATAGACCAGATGCTTTTATTATGTTCGTGTATTGGTATTACAAAAGACAAATATGTATCATGGCGACCCTATACTAATGGCGGTTCTAACTATTCTGATCGTTATTTATATTTTGGTTAATAGTAAATCGGAGAATCTTTGAACAAACTTTTTATTCACTATTATTAATATTACGTAGAAAGGATTTCTCGTGGTGTCGCTTATTATTATTATTATACTGTTAAATCTTTGTAATAACGACAAACCCGTCACACAATTTTTTCCGTAACGTTCAATTACGTACAATGCTTAATGCAAGTTGTGTAATCATATCCTAATAAATATATAATGATACATATTTACAATGCAACTGTATACGCTTTAGAGTAATCACACGATGTATTTTTTAATAATAACATTTAAAAGAAATAAGATTAAATATCAAGCCATAATTAAATTTCAACTTCCTTAGAGAACAAGTGTAAAACCAACCAATCAGAGAGAGGTTTCATTGCAATCGAAAAAGAGTAACATTCCGTCTAATTACATAAATAGAAACTTTAAATATTTAAAAATAATTTAGTCAGCGTTGGATTTAATTAAATTTAATGCAAAATTCTTATATGAATAAAGTTACAAATTGTTCAATTAGATGAATTTAATTATAAGTAAAAGTCAAACTTTAATATTTTGAATTTTTACGATTTCCTGTTTAATCATTTACAAAAAGGACAATTGAAAGGGAAAGATCAAATAAAAATAGTTGATATTTCTGTGTTAAAATACTTTTTATTACATGTTAAACCAAATTTATACAGGTATTTCAGTATCACTTGAAATCAGAAATCTATTGTGACTTGAAAACAAGAATTTTAATTTATATATTATAGACTTTGAAAAATAATTAATAGTTGTATTAATAGACTATGTACCATTGTGTGTTACTATGAATATGAACTTAAAGATATATATACAATGTTTGTTTAATCATAAAATGTGTACATTTTTTATGACAATTTAAAATATCCATGCAATGCTGGTATTTGGCATTCAATATAAATTTCTTTTAGGCTCTATTATTTAAGATTTTAATGTCAATATTTAAATACTTACAGGAATAGGTTACTATAATTTTCGCGTAGTAGATCGTATAGGATACATATAATTATAAAATATAACTGAACAATCTATACTGATACTTAATTAATCATTCCGACGTATAAAGTTAATTATAACCCTATAAATAAACAGTTGTAAGTTTTAATGTACATTTTAGAAATATAAATAACATGATAGTTGTACTATACAGTCATATTAGAAAAGTAAATGAAAATGGTAAATTTTCATGCTTCAATATGCATCTCTGTAATATAACTTATTTTTATTTTCTACTTTTATGTATAAATTGAAACATTCTGTAGATGTTACAAAATCTTTGTAGCTTAAACTACAGAACTAAATTGAATATTATCATTCAATTTAAGCCACAACAAAAGTTAACACCCGTCATTGATAGATTAATGTACACGTTGCAAATCCTAATCAGGATTAGTTCTTTCAATATCAATGACATTGGAAGCCATAAGAAGAACACGCGTGAGTTAGTTCTCACTTATTCTCCAGTCACATATTCACATTAATTTTTTTAAAGCTTTAACTAAATTCATACCTAAGCTGTACACTATACAAATTGCTCTGTACTGGTAGCACTAATATCAAGTAAACGCCATGCAGCTTTTGGATTAAGTTCTGTAGGATCACGGCACAATACCCAGATATAATTAACGCGCATTACTTTGTCGGGATCTCCTTCAACAACCTTACTTTTAACATCTTTCACACACATAATTTGTTGGCATTGAAAGCTAATTATTAAAACTGGTCCCTGTTCCATTACTTTGCCCATTATCAAATCTACATTGTTGATATCTGAAATCATAAAAATGTATTTATATTTAGAAAACATTTATAAAAAAAAAATATAACAATACCTAGAATCTTATTATCTAATTGATATCCCAGCTTTTCTGCTTGCATTATTGGCTGTGCTATTAATTTATATGGAGCTTCGTGACACCAGTCTTCTAAAATTTCAAGATTTCCTCTCACCATAGCTTCCAGAATATTTGGAATAATATCTGTTTCGCAATACTTTAAAAACTGTACCCTATCAAAGCTAGGATCTAGCTTACAAATTTCTGTTAGTGTTTCTGACAGATCTGTTTTTTGAAACAGTCCACCCACTATATCTGTAACTTTCTCTGTTAATAGTCTGGAAGCACGAATTACAGGATTATCGGATTCTTCATATTTAATCTTCCAATCCAAAACTTTATTCACATATGGATTTTTATCCTTTAAAAAATACAATTATCTAACTTAAGTAACTTGACAGAAATATACAAAAATAGTTTTATCATTTTAAAGTATAATACCTTAAAATTCTGCCATGATTGATAAAATTTAGAATCTTTATGCAATTCAACACCTGTAGCCTCTTTATTTGGTTGAACAACCTTATCATCTACAGTCTCTATTACATCTTTCCTTTTCCTTAACTTTTTAGGTGGGACATAAACTCTTCCTACAGTTTTGATAAGAAAAACATATTATTATAAATGCTTGTATGTTTAAAAGTTATTACAACTTACCATACATTCCTTGATGATCCAGTTCCTCACGCACAGCTTCTGCTGTTTGTGATATTGTTTGAAATGCACTTGTTTTACCTAAAGCCTGACTTTTTTCAGATATTGTTTCTGCTGCTTCTTTTGCAGATTTTGTTATTTCTTCACCTAACTGTCCAGCTTTTTTACCTAACTCTGTTTTACTTGCTTCTTCAAGAACTTCTTGTACCTATGTGACATCAGTAAATCAGTACTTGATATAACAAAATCTTATTGATATAACAAAATATTTTTCTATTTGTACCTTTCCTTTTAAAGAGCCTAATTTTTCTTTTATAGCTTCAGATCCTTTTGTGGCTTCAGCTTCAACTGCTTGAAATTTTTGTCGTGCAGAACGCAATGCTTCTGATTGTTCAAGTTTATCTGCCTCCTCTCTAAACTTTTTCAAAGATTCTTTCATTTCCTTATTTTTTTGCATTTCCTGCTTGATATTCTCAAGAAATTGCGTAAAGAAACTAGGTCTTCTCGCTGGATTTGTATAAAATCTGACCTAAAGAAGCAATCTATAATTAATTAAATCTATAAATATTCTTAAACTTATTTTCAGATGTAACTCACAGATAAACTTTGCATATTTGTAATTTGTGGTAATTGTGAATGTACCAAAACATTATAAGTATATATTATTGAACCATCTCTGAGAAGTTTCTTTTTAGATCTGGCTGATCTTGTAATACCATTAAGGCTTGCTCTGCATACAGCAAAATTCTGAAACTATATAAATATAGTATTATATATCTTATGTTTTTGTTGAAGTGTATTTTATATCAATCTCAATATACAGTTAAAATATTTCACATGGTGTAGCTTTAAATTTAATTCTTCTTTATCTTTTTAACTTTAATGTGTTACATTATTAATTGTTCCTTTTAATACAATTTGCACGTTCTTTCAACAGCTATATGGACCATAAAAAAAGTATACATTGTTATTATATGTAATAGATACTTATTACCATGTTACGTGAGTTCATCCTTTCCACGTATAATCATTTAATTTAGCCTTATGTTTTAATAAGGTTGAAGGAAAAGAGAGTGTAACTAGTTAGCTTTTAAAAACTAAAATTTTTATGATGCAACTATACGAAAAACATGAGAGCTATCCGAAAGAACATAACCTGGATGTAATAAAAAAATGTGACCGGTTCATAAATGAAACATTTGTGAATCTACGTTAATATGGAAAAAACAACTACATTTAATTTAAGTTTCCGTTACAATAAATGTTGAAAGTTCAGTTAGTAATTGGAATTATTTACCATTTTACGAATGATTTAACTGCAACATCTAGAATCTTCATAAAATATGTTGCTGCTAATGGGGAGGACATCTATCGACAAAAATTAGGCTAAATCATGATTGTACAGTACAAGCATAACATCTTAATTTTCATAGTTGTATTTTTACTTAAAAGTATTGTAATGCTGATAAATGTATACTTTTTAACAGTTTATTCATAAGAAAAAAATTATATTACAGTTGTGCATACATATATTTATTTATTTATTCGTTTATTTTTAACAACCATACATAGTTTGAATATGTGTATACATATTTTGCCTTAGAATTTTTACCTAAAATCCTAATAAATACAAAAGTATATTTACCAAGAAATTACACTATATTCATTAGCTCCTCATTCCTGGTATTCTGTATAAAAATTCCCCATCATCATCATAATAACAATCATTTACTCTATATGTCATGCCTTTCTTATATGAATTTTTAGGAATTTTTAAGCGTTTTATGTAGTTAACATCTGTATCCATATATGAACTTCGATCCTTTACAAAGGTGTCTAAACTTACATGTTCAGCATTCATTTCAGTTGCTACTTTGGATTCAATTCTATTTTTCTTGACAATTGTTGAACTTTCGCTAGATAAATTTTTTACAATACCAATATCTTTTTCTTGAACATTAGTATATTTTGCAGTACTATTTAATACATTAAAACTTACATCTTCTAAATTTTTGCATTCTACATGTTTCTTATAAGTATTCAATAATGCTAGTCTTTCTTCAGGAGATGTATCACTTGGATTATTCAGTTTTTTTTTTATAAATTCATCAAAAACTAATGTTTCCTGTTTATGATTATGTTCCTTCTTTACATCATATTTTTTATACATAATATTATTTGTTTCTTTTCTCACAATTTCTAGTTCTTTTTTCTCTGTTGCATTAGAGTACTTTTCACCTTTGTTTAAGCTTTTCTCTGAAGATTTTAATTGTTCATTATTTATAACCTGTTTTTTATCAACAGATTGTACAATACTTGAAAAAAATGAACTTGTAGGTTTTGGAAATTCCATCTTTGGAGCTACAAACTTATTAACCAAAGTTTCTCTATCAGTTAAACTAATTGTTCTGTTTTTAAATTTCATTAAATGTTCCTTTAAGTTAAAATTCACTGCTAATTGACCAGTTTTCCAATTTTTCCAGTTTTGAATAACTTTTTTATCATATTTAAGAATTGTGTCTACAGATTTTGGTACCCAACTTGCCTTTAAAATTTTTTTTATAGTTTCAGGTAAAGCTGGAAAACTTTCACTTAGCTTCTGTGGTGTCCACTCATCAGGATTAGTTTTATGTAGTTTCTTTATTTGCTCTTTTTCAACATAAGTAAGAAAACTTGGTTCTACTTCCTTAAAATATTTACTTTTGACAATAAGTCGCTTCAGCTGTTCATGATCTGCTTTTCTTGCTCTAAAAATCATATGAAAAATTGTATGAAAAAGATAGAAATTACAATTTAATGTTTTTTATATATACCTTTTTTTTTCTTCATAAAATTTGGCAACTTCCGTAAAATCAGATTCATATATTCCTATATCATCGTGATCCAATTCTTCAAAATCAGTCTCAAAATCTTTGCTGTATTTTGTTACTTCTCTTTTTCTTCGTACACCCGCATTTTCAGACATAGTTTTAGTACCATATGTTCTTAATAGCTTAAGTGTTATTATTCTGATATTATTCATTTTTGTATTTATTTACTTCTCACTATGATATTATTATCGTTTATACAAAATATATAAATTTTTAAATTGTCGTGAATAACATTTTACTTACGTACACTGCACAGTTCATAAGTCGAATATTCATGTATAAATATAAACAAATGAGAATACATGTAAATTATTTTTGTTGTACATTATAGTTCAATTTACAATACTTACACACCGTATTTACACACCTGTGAATTAAAAGTAAAACTATAAAAATTGCATACAAGTATAAATAATAAAATGACAATTTTTTATTCAGTCTACCCTTAAACCTTAAGTTCAGTACACATGGAAGTATGTAAATTTTCTAAATTGAATGTATCGAAATTTAATTAAAAAATTATATTTTATTTGTTTATTACTTATTCATTGTCTACATTTAGTATTATTATTCTTATTATATTATAACTGTATGTATGTAAAAATTATTGTTTAATTCAACTAAGAGAATTTAGATAGCGTTATAAGTTTTTTATTTATGAATCATGGTAGTTTCCAATCTATACAGATTATATATTCGATAGGAACGAACCATCTAAAACGGGACAAAGTTGGACACTGTAAATGGTCGTTAGCATGTGAAGAGGAGGATTATCCACTTTTGTGTTAAAAAATTCTTTCTATATTTGGAATTTATTGGTTTGAAACTCTCTCATCTTTTCCGTTAAAGTTTTGGCTTCACATGTGTAGATAATAAATTTTATATAGATTTTACAGCATTTTCTTTTTTAATCATTACATTATTGCTTCTATTTAAAAGCTATAAAATTAATATGTTTAAAAAGCTCTGTTTAATAACGTTAAAGAAGTCCATGTTATACACGAGAGTTGAGAGACGTTTTTGTATTTTTCTGTGTTCTGGAATGAAAACTTACTACTTATGGACAGAGAGTAAAAAAAGTATTCACACAGTTGTCAACTATACGAAAAATATTAATAAAAACTAAAAGAATGGAATCTCAATCTTCATATGTTTGAATTTACTGTATCAATTACATTTTGTTCACTGTTTGCATTCTTTATTGTTCAGTTATTGTTTATTATCAAAATGAACTTTCGAAGCAAAGAAAATACAGTAGAAGAAAGAAATATCATGATGAAGTTTTGGAAAAGTGGATAAACACTTAGAAAAATTGGAGAAATAGTGAAAATAAACCATGTAACTATTCAGTATATCATCAATAAATATAAGAATACAGGCTTAGTACAAAATTAACGATGTTCAGGAAGACCGACTAAACTTAATAACAAAGATGAAAGATTTATTATGCAAAAGGTAAAAGAAAATCCATTTAAAAGTGCATCTAAAATTGCAGCAGAATTAAATTTAGTAATTAGAAAACAAGTCTGTTCGAAAACAATACCCAATAAATGTAAAGAAGTAGGGTATTTTGCATGAGTAGCCAGGAGAAAACCTTTCATCAATCAAGTAACAGAGAAAAAGATTGCAATTTACAAAAACTTATATTAATCAGCCATTAGATTTTTGAAAAAAAGTAATTTTCTCAGATGAGAGCAAGTTTTATATCTGGAATTCAGATGGAAAGAAATTAGTATGGAAAAAGAAAGAGGAAACATTAAACAAGAAGAATATCAGTCCAAATGTAAAGCATGGTGGTGGAAACATTATGGTCTAAGATTATATATCAGTAAATGGTCTAGGAAATTTGCATTTCATAGATAGTGTAATGGATAAACCTAAATATGTAAATATTCTACAATCAAATTTAAAACAGAGTGCAGAAAAACTGGGTCTTCTAGATTGTTATTGATTTTAGCAGGATAACAACCTGAAACATATTTAATTAAAGAATGGTTGTTATACAGAGTGAGGCACCTAACTTGATCACCTCGGATAACTTCTAAATTATGCATTGTACAAAAAATTATTTCTACAAAGGTTATATGGTATCAAGAGGGACATCGCGTGGTATACACGACTTCTTTATAAGTGGAGATTTAAAGGTCAACTTTGTTTTTTTAAATGGAATGCCCTATTTTTTTTTTTACAGCAGTTTAGAAGCTCATTAATTTTCAAGTAGAAAAGTATTAAACATTGTTTGTTCTAAAGCTAATAATTAAGGGGGTATTCTAGTCTAGAGTGTCATTTTTTAGTCCTTAAGGATTTTTTTGTAATTATAGTATAAGTTTCTCAGTATCTGCATTTTGCATACATATTTATTCATGTTTTAAGAAAGTTCACAATTTTTTTCAAGTGAAAATAATCAAAACTGTCTGAATTATATATTCAGTACAGTTCCTTTAAAAAAAAGTGTCCCACTGGCTGACACAATTTTGCCCATTCTGTTTATCCGAAATGAAAAACCAAAAGAATTCTTGATTAGTACGACTGTGTCTATGGTGTAAACCAAAATAGAAAAAAATAGTGAAAATTTACAAAATGGTAGCACTTTGAATTTTGAATATCGATTTTTTCAATTTTTTTTCGTCTTTTAGAAGCTCTAAAAATCAGAAAAATATATATTTTGACATAATTCTGGTTCAGACGATAAAGGCATATCCATTGAAAGTACATGTAAAATTTGGAGTCAATCGGACAACTAGAACTTGAGATATGTCAGCCATTTAGAAAAATATTGTTTTGAGAAAAACGCGTTTAAAGTTTCTCATACCAGTTACATGAGAATGGTATACTTATGATTACGGGCTACATGTCGTCTTCTTTAATTATCTATAACTTCGTCAATTTTACGAATTCGGAAAAATCCTTCGACAGTTATACTTCTGCAAATGTCTACTTTCAGAAAATATAAAAAAAAATCGATTTTTTTGAAAAGTCTAGACTAGAATACCCCTTTACCGAGATATTCACGAAAGTTTGATCCGCATATGGTCGCGGATTGTACCCGAAGCAAGTGTGGCACACGCTTCACGAATTGGTTCTTGCATATCCTCTACCGTTGTTGGTGATTTACGATACATTTTATTTTTTAATGTACGCCAGAGAAAATGATTCAATTATGCGGATCAGACTTTCGTTAATATCTCGTTAATTATTAGCTTTAGGACAAACAATGTTTAATACTTTTCTACTTGGAAATTAATGAGCTTTAAAACTGCTGTAAAAAAAATAGGGCATTCCACTTAAAAAAACGAAGTTGACCTTTAAATCTCCACTTATAAAGAAGTCGTGTACACCACGCGATGTCCCTCTTGATACCATATAACCTTTGTAGAAATTATTTTTTGTACAACGCATAATTCACAAGTTATTTGAGGCGATCAAGTTAGGTGTCTCACCCTGTATAATGCACCTCACGTTTTAGAAACTCCTCCCTAATTTCCCAATGTTAACCCGATTGAACACGTATGGGAAGAATTAAAACGCTGTTTGCAAAAATATTCAATTTCAAATCAAAATGATTTAAAAAATGCATTGTTGGAAAAATGGAATAAAATAGTAGAAAATGTAACAAAAACATTAGTTGAATCAATGCCCAGACATTTACAGGCGATTATAGACAGCAAAGGATATCTTACGAAATATCATTTATTTATTAGAATAATTTTTATGTATGAATACTTCTTTCCTGCTAATTTCTGTACTTTGATATTTGCTGTGCATTTTATAATTAATTGTTACTTGGAAATAAAATAAACATATTTTTAAAGCTAAAGGTTTATAGAATAATTTGCCATGAACCATTTTATATTTTAAATAGTATTTCAAAAGTTATAATGATTTAAACTCGATAGTTGACGGTGTATGAATACTTTTTTCGCTCACTGTATATTATGGGATTTGTTAGATCATATTTTTTATTTTATGTAGAAAAATAGCAGTTTATAAGAATTTTTTGTACAAAGCATGGTGCAGTTTTAGTGAACATGTTAAATTAATTTAATTTGTAATATTTTTTGCAGAATGGATATGAGCACTTTATATCAATGAAAAATAATTAATTTTTCTTTTCATTGATCGAATAAAAAAAACTATAACAATGTATCTGTACAACTTGACTCTCCAACGTGCCACAGGTATAACCCATGCAGTGCATGGGAATTTCTCTGGCAGTAAAATGCAAGAGATTTTGGTTTCACGTGGAAAGTCTTTGGAGCTGTTAAGGCCAGATCCAAATACTGGAAAAGTTCATACCTTATTGACAGTAGAAGTATTTGGAATTATAAGGTCTTTAATGGCCTTTAGATTGACTGGTGGCACGAAAGATTATATTGTTGTTGGATCAGACTCTGGACGCATTGTAATTTTAGAATACATTCCTGCCAAAAATGTTTTTGAGAAGGTACATCAAGAAACATTTGGGAAGAGTGGATGTAGACGCATTGTACCTGGACAATACTTAGCTATAGATCCCAAAGGAAGAGCTGTAATGATAGGTATTGCATATATTATTAAATAAAGATGTAATTTGTACAAATAAGGTATTCTCTGTACCAAATGATTATTTTGAATTGATCTGTGTTTCACCTGATTAACATTGATTACAATCACTTTTGATGATGGTACATTTTGATAAAAGAAATATTCTCATCTGTAATTTAGTTATTATTTATTGACAAATATGTTTGTCTTAGGTGCAATTGAGAAGCAAAAGCTTGTTTATATTTTAAATAGAGACCCTGAAGCTCGTCTTACAATTTCTTCCCCTTTAGAGGCACATAAAAGTAACACATTAGTCTATCACACTGTGGGAGTTGATGTAGGTTTTGAAAATCCTATGTTTGCTTGTTTAGAAATTGACTATGAGGTAATATTTTAACATTTTCCAAAAATAAATAGTATTTTAATACATATTAAAGTATTGATTTGGTTTGAATTTTGTAGGAAGCGGATAGTGACCCTACGGGAGATGCAGCGGTGAAAACGCAGCAAACATTGACTCTTTATGAACTAGACCTTGGTCTGAATCATGTTGTACGTAAATACAGTGAACCTTTGGAAGAACACGCAAATTTTCTGGTGTCAGTTCCTGGAGGAAATGACGGGCCAAGTGGTGTTCTTATTTGTTCAGAAAATTATCTGACATACAAAAATTTAGGAGATCAGCATGATATTCGTTGTCCAATTCCGAGGCGGCGTAATGATTTAGATGATCCCGAAAGAGGCATGATATTCGTATGTTCTGCAACTCATAAAACCAAGAGTATGTTCTTCTTCTTAGCTCAAACCGAACAAGGAGACATTTTTAAAATTACACTCGAAACGGATGAAGATATGGTGACTGAAATTAAATTGAAATACTTCGACACTGTACCTGTTGCGGCAAGCATGTGCGTTTTGAAAACAGGTTTCTTGTTTGTAGCTTCTGAATTTGGTAATCAGTAAGTATATTGTTTAAATTGTTGTGTCTTTTAATAAGCAATTTTGTTAAAATAACTTATGTTCCTTTTAGTTACCTTTACCAAATTGCACATTTAGGAGATGACGATGATGAACCGGAATTCAGTTCTGCTATGCCTCTTGAAGAAGGTGATACATTCTTTTTTGCACCAAGGCCGCTTAGAAATTTAGTATTAGTCGATGAAATGGACAGTTTATCGCCCATAATGGCGTGTCAGGTAATTTATTTTAAATGGTATTCCAATTGTTTTGCACTTTCATGTAGGGAACGAACACACTTCAGTTGTATTTATTCTCTCTGGTAAAGTGCAAGAATAAAATATTCTTAGTCGCCTTCAATTTGTTTTTGCAAACTGAAGTTGAACCTGAGAATAACAATAAAAATTAATATTGGTAAAGTATGATAAGGTACGATCGATAAAGTACGATATTGAAACAAGAATTCGTTGTTTCATGTAGGTAGCTGATTTAGCGAATGAGGATACTCCACAGTTATACATAACGTGCGGTAGAGGACCACGATCAACTTTGCGTGTTTTACGACACGGTTTGGAAGTATCTGAAATGGCTGTCAGTGAACTGCCTGGTAATCCAAATGCTGTGTGGACTGTTAAGAGAAGAGTCGATGGTTAGTTTGAAAACATCTTACACAATAGTTATTTGCATGTTTTGTTTATCACTATACGCTTAAATGACAATGCAAAATAAGTTTCAGCTTCGTTTTTTTTTTCTGCATTGACGATATACTTTACATACAATACACTTTTTATTTTATCACCTAACATAGTATAAAGTGGTCCTTTGTAATAGTTGTTATTTAATTTTAATTACAGTAAGTAGAAGTGTTACTTGAACAAAATTTAAAAATATCGGTTCTTTAAAGCTTTTATTAAAAAATAATATTAGAAAATTGTGGAGATACTTGGAATAAGAATACATTTTGAGAATTAATTAAATGAATTCATGATTGTGTATATTACTTATTCTATCTAACTCTGCAATTTTTCAATGCAAAAAAAGAGAAAAGTTGATTTTGTAAATGATACTAATGAATCTGGTGGCTTGATACACTCTTATCAAACACCAGTTCTCTCTTTCAGGCTACCAGCATGCAATTGGTTGAACTACAGAACACAGAAAGTGATAGAAAGGTAAGGACTGTAAAACTTGCCGGGAATTAAGAATTTATTTGCACCAAAAAACCGTCATCTACTCTTTATGTGTAGGATGAGAAAGCGCGTGCTCAACCGCCCATGACTGACGATCTAAATTAAAATATATCGATTCCGTCAATGTTTATTTTGCTTAGGTATTCAGAGTGAGCTTTGTAATTTTGATTGCAGAAGAGTATGATGCTTACATCATAGTGTCCTTCGTCAATGCTACTCTTGTACTTAGTATTGGAGAAACTGTAGAAGAAGTGACGGATTCTGGATTTCTCGGTACAACGCCAACACTAAGCTGCTCTGCCTTGGGAGAAGATGCACTGGTACAGGTGTGTTAATTTTTTTTTTCTTTTTAATGAAATGTATTTTCAATGCACTGCGGTATCTCCAACTCCTAGTTGACTACGAGTTGGTCGCAATAAATAGTGCTAAATTACACAGAGTTCTCGCATCGTTGAGTGTTTAGATAATTTTTCTAAACATGTTTGGTAAATTGAACTCGACAAAACTTTCACTATTAAAATATTAGCTTTTGTAATTACTGTTACATTTTCGTAGACAATTTTGCACTATTTTATTTAGGTGTATCCTGATGGAATACGACACATTCGTGCAGATAAGCGTGTGAACGAATGGAAGGCTCCTGGTAAAAAGACGATAGTGAAATGTGCAGTGAATCAACGTCAGGTCGTGATTGCGCTCACTGGAGGGGAACTAGTATACTTCGAGATGGATCCCGTATGTGTACTCAAATTAAATGTACATTTCTAATCGCATCATTTGTTCTCTCTGTGATGTTAATTACTCTCAGAGATAGTATAAAATGCGGAAAGCATAGCACTTTCTTCATCTGGAGTAGTGTTCAATTATATATTCATGCTAGATGAAAAAGTGGACATTTTTAAAAATTCGTTTAAATTTAATTGACTTCGGTTATTTTATACTTTCTAGACTGGGCAATTGAACGAATACACGGAAAGGAAAAAGATGCCGTCTGAAGTGATGTGTATGGCTCTTGGTAATGTAGCAATCGGAGAGCAAAGATCATGGTTCTTGGCCGTTGGCCTTCAGGACAATACCGTAAGAATTATTTCGTTAGATCCTTCGGATTGTTTAGCACCCAGGAGTATGCAAGCTCTACCAGCAGCTGCAGAAAGCTTATGTATCGTTGAAATGGGCGCTAAAGACGCAAATAGTTCAGAAGAATTATCTCCTCAACAATCGAGTCTTTATTTAAATATAGGTAGATAAAATTAGAAATACGTACTTTTCTTTTTTTAATATAACTTTTTAAACATGTACTTGTATGTTTCTAGGTTTACAGAATGGCGTCCTGCTAAGAACAGTGTTAGATCCAATTTCTGGTGATCTCGCGGATACACGCACACGATACTTGGGTTCGCGGCCCGTTAAATTATTTAGGATAAAAATGCAAGGGAACCAAGCTGTTCTTGCGATGAGTAGCAGATCATGGTTGAGTTATTATTATCAGAATCGTTTCCATTTGACTCCATTGTCGTACGAAAGTCTAGAGTTTGCGTCGGGCTTTAGTTCTGAACAGTGTCCTGAGGGAATTGTTGCCATTTCCACAAATACACTGAGAATTCTTGCTCTTGAGAAGTTAGGTGCGGTTTTCAATCAAATTAGTTTTCCTTTGGAGTATACACCGAGAAAATTTGCGATTCACTCGGACTCTGCACACTTAATTATCATTGAAACGGAGCACAATGCGTATACGGAGGAAACGAAACAGCAAAGAAGGTTACAAATGGCAGAGGAAATGCAAGAAGCCGCTGGTGCTGAGGAGGCTGTGGTAGCGAGAGAATTAGCGGAGGCTTTCTTGTCTGAAGAACCTAACGAAGCTGTATTTGGTGCACCAAGAGCTGGACCAGGCTTGTGGGCATCGTTGATAAGAATTATAGCCCCTACGACGGGACAAACATTCGAAGTTCATCGTCTGGAACAAAATTTAGCTGCCTTATGGTAAAGTATGACGAATATTGATGTCTCTGATATTTAAGTTTTAGAAAATCTGGAGAATCTAATTTTCTATGAATTATATTACAGTTTAAGCCTTGTAAAGTTTGCGAATCAGGGTGACCAACTGTTTCTCATAGTTGGTATCGCAAGGGAATTTCAATTGAATCCGAGGGTTAGCAGTGGTGGCTTTCTATATACGTATAAGTAAGTGTTCATTATATTGAAAAATGTATTATAGGCATAATTTATATGATGACAAAAATACACAATTACTGTAACTCACTTTGGAGAAATTCCTGCAGTACTGATATTGACATTTAATGTAAAATGCATAATTAAGAAAAAAGGATAAGTGTGAAAATAAACATTTTTTTTTTTTACAGAGTAAATGTCGAATGTACTAGTCTTGAATTGGTGCACAAAACTACTTTGGACGAAGTACCGCTGGCTATATGTCCGTATCAAGGAAGAGTTTTAGTGGGTGTTGGTAGAATGTTGCGCTTATACGACATGGGCAAAAAGAAGTTGCTACGAAAGTGTGAGAATAAACATATTCCCAATGCTGTTGTTTCGATTAACGCTATTGGACAGCGGATTTATGTTAGTGATGTGCAAGAGTCCGTGTATGCTGTTAGATATAAACGTCAAGAGAATCAACTTATAGTCTTCGCGGATGATACGCATCCAAGATGGATAACTACCACCTGTGTGCTGGATTATGATACTGTTGCTACCGCTGACAAATTTGGCAACATTGCTGTTGTAAGTAGAATGGAAACATACATAAGTGATGAGTTCAATAATTGTTCGATTATATGAATTTTTTAACTATATTTTCTATATATTCTTTTACTAGATACGCTTAGCAAGTGGCATTAACGATGATGTCGACGAAGATCCAACTGGTAATAAAGCTTTATGGGACAGGGGTTTGTTAAATGGCGCTAGTCAAAAAGCAGACACAGTTGCCTGTTTCCATGTAGGCGAAACAGTTATGTCTTTACAAAAAGCGACTCTTATACCTGGTGGTTCTGAAAGTTTAGTATACACAACATTGAGTGGAACAGTAGGGGTGCTTGTTCCCTTTACAAGTCACGAAGATCATGATTTCTTCCAACATTTGGAGATGCATATGCGCTCAGAGCATCCACCACTTTGTGGGAGGGATCATTTGTCGTTCAGATCGTACTATTATCCTGTGAAGAACGTCATAGACGGAGATCTCTGCGAACAATTTAACTCGATCGAACCAGCAAAACAGAAAAGTATATCAGGTGATCTCGAACGAACGCCATCTGAAGTGTCAAAAAAACTCGAGGATATTCGTACACGATACGCTTTCTAAATTTTTTTTTGGAATTTATTTATTATCATTATTAAATGTTAAATTTAACATATTTGCATTCCGTTTTATGAATTCATCATATTTCTCATGATAGAACATGCGTTGAATAAATCATTTGTAAAAAAATGTTACGTACATATAACTTTTGATATGCGAATTCAGAAAAAGTGTGTAAAAAATTGTACACGCACTGTATAATAAGTGTATGAGCTAAGTTTACGTGACGTTGAATGTGATTGTAGAAAGAAGAGGATCTTAACAGAAATCTATTTAAATTAAAAGAAACCAGAAGAAATTAAGTTTATTTCTGATAAACGAGTAAATTCTTAAATTATCCTGAGCTTGTACATTTTTATCTTGTACGTTTCATGTTTTACTATGTTCAAGAAAATAGTATAATGAAAGTTATAATTTTTAAGTAGAATAAGATTCACTATTATATCCTATCAATATGTGTATATCTTTCGACTGTATATGCTGTAAGTTTCGACGATGGCACGAAGTGTTGCAATATTGAAAAATACACGTTTTTCTCCACAAGTTACATATTAGAAACATTATTTTTAAAACTTCCTATATTTTTTCTTTTAATTCATATTAGTATGTAATCATCGTATAATTTTTTTTAGTTCATCCTTGTTAGTTTACTAAAGAAAGAAGCTAAAAGTGAAGTCTGATGTACAATGAAGAAAAAAATAGCGCCTCGCCGACCTATATTATAAATACAACTTATACATTAAAGATTGAACAATTCTTAAACTAAAAATGGATCCTAATCAATCAATGTTTGTACTTAAATTATTTTAGAAAAATCAACCAGATATTTTATTCTTATTATCTTCTAATTCTTGAAATTATCATTTTCATATCCAATGAAAATTAAATATTAAAAGACAAACGTTTTACTTTTTTTTTATGTATACTTTTGAAGTAGATAAGAAAGGTCGCATCAAGTAAGTTATTAAAAAAATAGAACGAGGAGTCGATTGTTAAATACATGCCTAAGCATTCAATGCATTATTTTTCCTTTTCTGCTCTAGAATTGCACGAGCTCATTTCTTTCTACCCGATTACTTCTGTTGCTTGTTGCATCCCTTTCGACCTACAATTCGTCGCCAATAGGGGTCAGTGTAGTTGTAGTTCGCATTTTTATCGGAGAGCTCCGAAGTGCGAAGTTAATCCGTGTGCCGAAGCGTATCGAGGGTATAATGCAACATTATTACCCCCGTTTAACCTTCAAATTAATAAGCAGGCTATGAGACATGAAATCTAAAAGCCACTGTTAAAAAAAATTACATTACTTTAATTTATTAATGAAATCAGTGAACCAAAACAATCAGAAGCACTACAATAATTTTTCTACTCTTTTTTCTAATTCTTCTACAATTTTTCGTATTCTATGCGCGTAAATTCGAATGCGAATGTATTCCTCAGAGACTTTATCAATATCCCAGCGATGGATATTTATCGTTTCACCTTTTAAGTGGTCATAATCGATAGTCTAACATTCTCTTTAAAATTTCATTGCAAATCCAAATATTTTTTCAAAATTTATTAGATGCATGCTCATTTACGATAATACTTTACACTGCAATTCGAAAAGCAGACTCATGATAGACGTTTATCGTTTTACATTTTGAATAGTTACCATCTATATAAAATTCCTCAAAAAATTCAACTCTAATTTAAAACTTTTTTCAAAATTTTCTCAATGTATATTCATTTGAAATAATATTTCAGACGATATCTTACACTTCAAGTGATTCAAAAGAATAGATCAAGCTTTCGTTGATACATGATTTTTGCAATGCATTGAGGCACCGTGATCAGTAGTTCCGTCATTGCAGTAGTAGCGTGCTTTAGGGCGTCGAAACGGAGAGAAAAGGACCGAACGCCGATCGATGCATTGAGGCGCCAGGCCCTGAGCTCAGCCCCGTTTCGTTCCATCACCCTTACCCCGGTATGCCCTGCAGCAAAGCTACCCTCCGGGCTTTTCTCTTTCCTGTGCAGTTGCGCATCAACCTCTTCAGGGTGTAGAACTGCATTCGATCACTGGACTTTTACAGCCCTCGTATAAACGTTACCTCTTATACGGCTTATTTCTGTTGTGATACGAAATAATACGTTACTCGAAGGTGTACCGATTCTGAGAGAAAGTAAACTTTTTGTCAACGATTTTTATCTTTGTTTAAATTACACTTTCTGATACGTGCAAATTGTCCGGGGTGATGTCAATTAATAGTGTCATTCGTTCTTATAATTATGTCGGTTGTCATTATTGGCGAAGTTTGCAATTTCGACGTGCTTGAACCACTTTATGAGCACATGATTCGTCAAGCGTAAAACTGTGATTCGGTGTCATCGATTCGAACTACGCTTGCTGGTGTGATGTTCGATTCACTGACAGATGATTATGGTAAATGATTTTTTTAGTATTATTCGATGAAACATAGTGTGTTTTAAAAAGGAACGTTTTTTGAGTGTACTGGAAATTTTATGACAGGCGTGTTTGGTGTAGATTTCCATAAACATGGATAATGATTTTTTTCAACAATTACAAAGGTTTATTTATTAAAAAAAATTGATCTTAAAAAATTAGTGAATTTTTGTAATTTTTATATTTTTGAATTTCAACTTTTAACTTGATTTTGTCATGATGAATTTATTTAAATATTTGGATTGTATTTTGGTAATTGCAAAATCTAATGTACATTTTAAGTTGCTCTGTGTAGTAAAATTATTTAAATGCATGTTAATAAGCATGAAGAATTGAGTTCAGATAAAAGATCTAATTTTATCTATGAAGTATGAAACTTAGTGCGATGGTTTCTATGAATATCCTAATAAAATGTTTGCCATTCTACGTATACAAGTAGGAGAGATATGAATATATACATTCTCTTTAATCTGTAACAAATATTTGACCAGACTTTAGTAAAAGTTATAGAACAAAGTAGTCATAAAGATAAATTCGAGAGGGATGAAAGAAAAATTGTTTTCTTGTGTGAAGTGTTTATTGTGTAAATGTATACAGAGAATAAGAGGGGTAATCAAGTTCTTCTTCCAGCCTTTGCTGATGTAGCCAAGTATTTGATTTAATTTGTTTACCTACTTCGGCTGTATTACCTCTCTTCCTCTTTTTATAGAACACTTTGTATAGTAATAACAATTTGGTAATGTGATTGCTCATTAATATGTTCAAAAATAACTTGAACGTGCTTCAAATTTATTGAGTGCTTTCTATTAAATGAGAAACATGTAATTCGTTGATTTACTTGAGCAGTGTTTTAAAAAACAAAAATTATTTTGATCAAGTACTCTATGTCCATATTTAATATTTGAAAATCACCCAATTTTACAATTCAAATTTTCATGCTGAAAGCACTAAAGTCTCATTTTCTCACTATAAAAAGATTCCTTTTGTTTTGATAGGAAGTAGCTGATGCTGGAGGCGGTCACCAACAGTTTCGTGTAACTGTTCTAGTTCCGTTGATTTTTCTGTTTTGTTGGACGGATTACGTGGCAGCTGGTGATTGTGGTCTGGCTGAGTTAACTTGCCGGGACGGGCATTGTGTACCGATTGATGCATACTGCAATGGGCAGGATGATTGCGGTGATAACAGTGACGAGCCGCCTATGTGTACACCCTGTAATCGTACGTATCATGGACGCGAAGGACGTACGTACAAACTGGATCTTCCGAGACCTGCTGAGGAACGTCTACCATTTCTTTGCCATTTAACGTTCACTGCTGCTGGACAAGGGTACGGGGAGTTGGTGCAACTTTTATGGGATGCGTTTAGCGTGGGCAGAGTAGATCCAAACACTGATAGTTTTGTTACAAGCTGTCCAGAAGGATCTCTACAACTAGCAGAATTAGGTAGGCATTTCACAGGAGGTTCTTGGTGTGGTGTTGGAGAAGGAAAAGCTTCTTACTACAGTGAAACCAGTACTGTCACAGCATCTATACGACTGTTTCATGCACCTTCAAGTGTACCATTTGAGTTTCGTTTAAGATACAGATTCGTAGCACGTAATGAAGCTGTTGCTAGATTAGGGAAACCTGAACTTCCAATTGAGAGGGGCTCTCCAGTACCTGGTACTTATTGTTCTCGAAATTTCTATGAATGTCACTTAAAACAATGTAGGTTGCAGAGTCCAAATTATCCTGGAGAATATCCAAGAAATGCCAGTTGTTTGATAACAGTAAGACAGAAAGAGGTACCTACATGCAAGCATGCCATGATTTCTGTGAAATCTACACCAACTGGTCCTGCTGGAATGACCATAGCCAATAGTACTTTAAGTATGTGGCAAGATTGTCCTTCAGAAAAAGACCGCCTTATCTTTCGCGATGGTGTTAGATCAGAGGATCCAATTTTATTGGTATATTGTGGAGGACCTTTACCACGGATCACTGCCAGAGGTTCAACAATGCAAGTAGAATTTCGAAGCTCTCCGATAGCTATTCCACTTGGTGCTTCTGCTTTAAGACTTGAACTGGAGATTCAAGTAGTTTATGTGGACTCTGATGGACTTGATTATGCAAAGAATCCCCAAGGCTGCCATTTTGTCGTAAATGATACTAACAAAAGGAGCGGTGTATTGAGAGCACCACTGCATGCACTGCCACCAAATTCCAGTTGTACCTGGAATATTGAAGGATCCACTGGAGATAGAGTGTGGATTTATTTTTCTTCCTACTCCCAGAGAGACTTGACAGGTAGTGTGGAAAACAATGCCAGTTCTCAATCAGATGTACCTTGTGCAGTGAAGTTAATTTTTTGGGATGGTACCCCAACCACTGTACTTCCAATGGCTACACTCTGTGATGACACACCCAAGTTGTGTGCTCATGCAGCTTTAAGAAATGTTACCAGAAGTACAAGGCCATGTACAGAGGATGAAAGCTATATTACGGTGGCACCATCTTTGACATTAAAAATGGAGACATTATTGGGTACTGCTCTTCATACAGTTAATTTCAATGTAAGTTATAAGATCATAATTTATTTCACACTTACTTTAGCAAGAAACTTAATAATAAGAAACTTACTTTAGCAAGAAACCAATAAAATATTATTGTAGGCACAGTATGAGTTTATTTCAACCATTCAAGTTGGGGAGCCCTGGGGGGATGGAGTTTGCAGCAGGGTGTGGCGCAAGGTTCGAAGCGGTGAGGTAACCTCACCACGTGATGTTCGTCTCTTTGGACGGGGTGGATCTCCGAAATTAGAATGCAGATATCGAATTGAGGCTGGTGCGGACGAGAGAGTGCGACTGACATTGCACAACGTCAGTTTCGGCGAGTCGACTGTGTGTACGAGCGAACCAGATCCTCATACAGGGCGACCACGTTGTGTTCAGGATGTGGGTTCCAGAGAAGCCCATTTAATTTTATATGAAGCGCCTTGGCGGGACGTGAAGCTTCCCAGAGCTTGTCTATGTGATAATACATCTCATCTTCCACTGACGCACATTTCTTCAAGCAGAGCTTTGGAGATCACCTTTTTAGTCGATCAGCAAGCTCCGCATGAAGATTTTGAGACACTCTTTTTCTATGCCAGCTTCGAGCTCGTTCGAGCACCTGAGTGTCCCAGAAAGCAAAGAGTACGAGGAGAAGGTAATTTTTTTTATTATTATTTAGTTAATTACTGACTAACTTTTCTAAGATATTGACTATTTACAGGTGGCGAATTAAGATTTGTTGCTCCACCATTGTCAAGACCAGACATTTATTGTGAGGGACTCCCGTGGTTGGTGGAAGCACGTGAAAATAGATCTCTTTTTGTTCTAACCTGGGGCTGGTTCCTTCCCCTTGAACCAGCGCCGATATCAGAATTAAATGAACAATCCAAGTGCCCTACTTCCAATAGAATCCTCCTTTATTCAGGCTGGCCACCTAGACTCTTGAAAGTAGTCTGTCCCGCAGAACCAGGTGCAAGAGAGTTCACCGTTCATGTATTTTCTGAGGAATGGCTAGGAGGAACCGGAGAGGGTAAATGGCCAGGACCACCGCGACCACCTGCGCTTTTGTTGGATTTCGTAGCTAGGGAATCTGGCCAGGCCGCTGCCTCCTGGCTTGAAATTTCAAAGAGCAGGGCTGCACTGCGCAGACAATTGCGATTACCCGAGAGAGGAGTGGAAAACGAAACTTTATCCCATGGAGATTGCCCTCATAAATGCCCTGAATTAAGCGCTTGCATCGCTGCGAGTCTGTGGTGCGATGGAAGACCTCATTGTCCGTCTGGGCATGACGAGGCGAATTGTGGCAACGGTGCAAAATTGCTCGGATTACTTCCTTCGGAAATATGGCTTGTGCTGGCAGGTGTCGCTGGAATCATCGCTGCATTCGCGTGCTTCTTTGCTGTGCTCATTAGCAGGTAGATTTAGTTAGGTTAGTTGTCATTGTAAATAGTCTTGTTTTGAATTTCTGTTGTTTCAGGTCAAAAACACGTACAAAAAGACTTCACTATAAAGGTACAAAGAAAAGCAATAGACCTAGACGAGCACCGACAGAAGAAACACTGCTTGGAGCAGCGTCCTGACAACAGCAACCCGGTTTCGTGGAGTACATTCACGTGGACCGGGAAACGACCGTTTAGCAATATTTCTCTGTGCTTTACCGTCCACTAACTTAACAATATCCCCAGGTATTATAATCCAAGTAACAATATTTTAATTTTTAGTGTAGTTACCTATGTTGTTTAATTTTATACTTTTTAATTTTCCAGTGGTTGCTTGATTGAAACTATTACATTCGTTTATACACATTCTATTTTCTAGATGTTACAATGACTATGCAACCTTGTCGAGATTAAACAATACAATAGGGAGGGACACAAAATGTAGCCATGCTATATTTCTTTGAACTATTTGAAACCTTGAATGAAATGATAATTTTTAATCACTTTATTGTATGAGTAGTTAAAGTGACAGCAATATTGTCGACTTTGAATTTGTGCAATATCGGTGTGTGATAGTGAATAGTAGTACTCATTGTTTTAGAAATTCTTTATGAAAGCTCTCTATTTCCAATATAATATAATTGAGTTGTATAACATTAACACAAGGTTTTATAAACCAAAGAGATTGTAAATGCAATTAATATAATACACAGAAGTAAATTTATAATTTAAAAAAATATCACACATATTGCTCAAAACATATTGTAACTGCCAAAAAAAGAAGTATTTTAAGTTCAATTAGCAACTATAACATTTTTAGCATCAATAGAAGGGAAAAAGGAAACAATAGGAAAATGTATTCTGATTGCAAAAAAAGTAACTCTTTTATATTTTAATCCAGGAGCAACTTAAATTTAAGAAAGGATTGAAATTGATTACATAATTATAGTTACACTTTACCAGTAATGCCAAAAGTTCATTTATATTTCTTTCGTAATTTTAAAAAATATTTTTGACTTTTGCTCCAATATTTAAATGAGATATATAGGAGGTACGAAGCAAATTAGAATAATTGTTTAAGAAGAAAGCTTATTAAATTTGCTGAGAAAAAAAAACTTTCGAACTTCATATTGATTATTTTTCTTTTTTGCTAAATACAGAAACTACAAAAGTACTGTACTTATAAGGGAACAATTGTAGGTAAAGTTCCAGCGCACAAGAGATTGTGAGAAAAATGAGGGAAATAAAAAAAAATTAGCAGAAATTTATGGTACAATATTATATAA